TTGCTCAATCAGTCGCCGGACGGGCCGGATAGGGGTAGGTACACGGAAATCGCGTTCAATCGCCCAGTCGCCCGGTATCAGCACTCCCGTTGTCCAACTCCCCGTGCCCAGCCTTCGATGCCTACCTGTTTCTCGTCTCCGTGGCCTTGCCCTACAATGCGCGATACTATCACTACTTTATCTTCAAGGAGCCGCCGTTCAACCAGCATGACCTAAGAACGTACGTAAAAAACAACTTGAAGGCGCGTAGACGAAGCACACATAACCTTACCAGGAGGTCATTCAGGCAACTTGATTCTCCGCAAGCAACACTCCTGAGGCGGGATGTAGGAGAGTCTGTATCCTTCCGAGAAGGTGGGCTTTATTCGCCTCTGCTTCGATCCACGTCAACGCGTATCCGCGATCCGTCGTGTCTCGCGTGCTGCCGCGTCCCTAGGTGAATTATGACGAGCCTAGCACTCGATGGGTACGGTACTCGACAGGTAGGTATTTCGGTAGCTGTGTGCCTGGGTTTTGTGTGGCTGGGCAACTTTGGGCAACAGGAACAGATCAGATGGGACGGTATCGAAATGGTCAAGGCCAGTTAGCGCCACGATCCAGCTTCAAGTCGTTTCCCAGCCCGCTCTTTTTTTTCTTGTCTCGCCCCCATTTTTTTTTGTATTTTTCCCCCCCCCTCCGTCCCCCTCTTTACTCAGTAGGTAGGTACTCGCCAAGGTACCTCCGTATTTACTGTCTGACTAATCTCTTCGTGCATAATTTTATTATCATCGTCTCTTCGCCTTTCGAATGATTCAATAATTATCATCAGGCTCTCGCTCTCTACTAAGTATAACGCATATGCAATGGCCTCTTTCTCTCTTCTTCTGTGTGTACATGTGTGTGTCTGCGTGTGTAAGTGAAGTTCCCTACCTGGTGACCTGTATAATACGTGGTGGAGGTACATACCTAGGCATGTATCTATGTAAGTCTCCACGCTACCAAGGGAAGGGGGGACCCGATGGAGGGAAGTCGCCACCCACGCGTGCGCACGTAAGTGAGTGACCGATTCCCTGCCGAGCGCTCCCCCTTCGTGTCTCTTGACTCTTGACCCTGCTTATTCCTTTCTCTTTTTCCTCTCCTTTCTACGTACCTAGTGCAGTCACGTAGTACAGCCTTTTCCCACCCTTAAGCCTTCCTTATCCGGTCTACCTCGCCCTCTACATCATCTCTACCTCCACCTCTACTTTTCCCCATTCCCATGTCTACTTCTGCCTCTACTTCTTCTCCCTGTAACTACCTTACCTACCTACTTGCCCGTCTGCCTGCCTGGCCACCTTGCCCTACCTTACCTGGGCCTTATACTACCGGTATACTGCATCTTGTTGTCTCTTTGCTGCTCTCGCTGTCTGTCTCTCGCGTGTAGCGCAACCCTGCGAAAATCATCGCGACAGTCTCGATAGCGGCCCCCATCCGATCTGTGGTGGGAAGCGGGAGAAAAAAAACAGGTAAGGTATCTCTCTACATCTCTATCCGCTTTGGTCACATCACAACGCATCGCATCGCATCGCATCACACCCCAGGCCCAACCCCATCAGCAGCACCAACTAACAACATCATCGACATCGACATCGACATCGACATCATCGTCGTTATCGTTGTCGGTCACACACCACTGGGGGCACTATCACCAATACTCTATAATCAATCAGTCAGTCAGTCAGTCAGTCAGTCAGTCAGTCAGTCAGTCAGTCCGTCGGTCGGCTAGCCAGCCAGCCAGCCAGGACCCTCTCCTGCTATGGTCAATCTTGACCCTCGCCTGAGCCTGGCAAGCTACGAGTATTTGAAATGACCGGATCTTACCGCGTTTCTGTTTGAGATCTCTCAACTCGCTGGCTGGACTGTACTGCATTACACTGCACCACCTCCATCAATTGATTCATCAATTCTCCTCATCCTCCAGCATCATCAACACTCCAATCACCCTGTCCATCCCTCCCTCCCCTCTACCTTCTCCTCTCGAGGGCATCAGTTCACGCAGGATCGGTCGGGCGATCGCGTGCACACGCGCGCGCAAACTTCCGGGTCCCCGCCCTGCCACACGCACGCACGAACACACGCACGCACACCCCGGCAGGTGGCTCTTCAAAATCCAGAAGGGACCTTGAGGACTTGCCCATATCCTTGGAGGGAACCAATTAATCTACTGACTGATATCGACTGACATTTGATTGCGCCCGCCCAGAATACAGAATAGGAACAGAACAGGAAGATACATACCTACCTACCTACCTACCTACCTATCTTCCTACCTTACCTAAGCCCGATCCAACCTTGAAGAACCTCCAAACACAAAGAAAGGCACCACCAACAAACACATTATGCAGCAGTGGCAGGTCGGCCCTGTGCCGGAGTACCTGTACTCCAACTCCACCAACCACCCCAATGACATGCAGTGAGTAGTGACCCTGTTTCTAAGTACTCTTCTCGTATCTCCTCTCCTCCTCTGCCTCCGGGGGTGTTTATGCCTCCCTGTTTGTCTCTTCAGTGTCTACCATCTTGTTTGTTCTTCATATCCTTCCTCTGTCTCCCTCTCTCCTTTCCTTGGCCTCCTTATGCATCTCCATATCCTTGTCCCTCGTCTTCGTCCTCTTGTCGTCGATGAAAGGCAGGCTCAATAGGGAGCGGAGGTATCCCCCCATCCATTCCCACCAGCCCAGCCACCAGAAAGAGAGAAGAGGGAAAGCCTACCTACCCCCTCCTCAGGTAGCTTGCTGCAAGAGCCGGGGGCCCAAGCTGGATCATCTTGCTACCTATACCTACCAACCTACCTACCTCGTCTCCCAAGGTACCTCTGAGAGACCTCCATCCTCCCACCACCCTTGTCTTCCTAATTCGTCCCATCACATCCACATCCACCTGCACCCACATGCGCCCACCTCCCACCTACCTCGCCTACTACCTATGCACAACGGCCGCTACGGTGCGCTACCTCCTATACCTGGCCTCGCCTTGCCTGGCTGGATAATTGGATGGCTGGGCGGGCTGTGGCTGAGGCATGGTATGCGCTCTCCTCTGGTCTGGTCTGGTCTGCTAAGATAGAGAGTGAGAAGAGGATAGACATAGGAGACGAGTAGTAGGAGTTGTAGTAGAACAGTCGGCAGTTTGGGGAAGGTGCAGAGACTGGCCTTCCTCCCCGCCCTCTCTCCTACTCTCTCTTCCTCTCTCTCTCTTGCCTCTTTTTTTTTTTTTCGCTCTTCTTGCCAGGCACTGGTGCTGCGGTGCTGCGGTGCTGTGCTGTGGTGTGTTGGGTGCTGTGCTGTGATCCAATGGGCTGGGTTCTCTGCCAGCCAATGGAACCAGGCAAGCCCAGGCAAGGCCACCTGCCCTACTACCTCCCTACCAGCCTACCTATGGCTTCTACCATACCTACCTACCTAGCACCTCCCACCTAGCACCTAGCACCTACCTTATCCCGAGTTGAGGTTCCCTCCCCCGCCCCGCCTCTCTTATATGTACTGTACCCCATCCATGTACCCTCTCCTCCCCAACCTTGTCCTTGCCTTTTCTCTTTCTTGATGCTTGGGTACTTCCTTCCCTCGTCCTTCTTCCTCGCTCCTTCCTCCCTCACTCCCCCGTCTGTCTGTCTCTCTGTCCCTCTTTCTCTCTCCACCACACACAAATACACGGCACCCATACCCATACCCATACCCATCCACATAATACAATCCAATACCAGACGATACAAACATCAAGCCTGCCAGTCCCACCTACAGAAACACTGTGGGCGCGATAAGCTGGAGTGCGCTTTGATTGCCAGGCGAAGAACAAAAATCTTCCAAAGCAGTCGTTGATCATCGTCGCAGACCTCCAGGCTGTGCTTGCTTGTCGTCTGGTTCACCTATCTACCAATCTATCTTGTGGTGGTGGTGGTGGTCTTGCTAGCGAGATAGCTAAAGCTACCTACCCGTGCCTACCTAACCTTTCTCCTCCTACCTGACCTCGATTCACCTCACCTCACCTCACCTCACATTCATACCATCATCATCATTTTACCTGATACCCAGGCATCTGTGGTCCTCCTTCTTCTCCTCTTCTGAGGCCAGTGCCGTGGCAATTGTCTTCTTCGCCTTCCTCCTCTGGCCGACAAGACAAGACAAGACAAGACAAGACAAGCGACTACCTTTCCCTCCTCCTTCCCGTCCCGTTTCCCGTGCTACCGACGCCGCCCGCTACTTGACTCAGCAGCTGGGCTACCTCGCGTCGACCTCGTTCTACATTGTTGTCGTCAACGTGCTTGTCTTCGCCTCCACCCCATCCATCATCTTTCTTTTCTTCTGCGCCAACACCGGGTGTTTTCCCCCCTGTTCCTTCTCGAGACATTCCGATGAAGAAGTCGAGGGCCGACGTGGTGCAGCAGCCATCTTGGCCGCCGCAACCACAGAACACCATGCCGACACTGCAGCAGACCCAGTCGCCGTTTGCTAACACCACTTCCTGGTATAGCGCAACCCATTCCTATGGTCAGCCAGACATGAGCCGTCGCAATGAGCAGATGGATCCATATCGTGGATATGGTGCCCCACCTCCTCAACAACCCCCGACACAGCATCATCAGCAGCATCCCGGCGCCGTCCAGCCGCCTATGACGGTCCCTCAGCCGCAGCACCCACAACATCAACAGCACCAGCAGCAGCCTCCCCAGCAGCAGCAGCAACAGCAACAGC